CTTTTCAATGGGCGGAAGGCGAACAAAAAGAGTTCGATATAAGGACTTAACGCAGAAGGTTGCATTTCTCCATGCCTCATAATTTGACGAGCCTTACATGAAAAAAATGACCGCATCTCCACGTGGTGAATGATGTTCATTCGGGCGAAGCACTGGTGGTGCTGATGATACTGATTTTATTGTTCATAGGTATGGCTGATGGTGCTGATTTTTTTATTGCTCATAGGTAGTGCTGAGTTCCGGGTTGCGTTTCGACTTATATACGCATTTGACCGCAGCGCCCTTTCCTTTATAGACGTTGAGCGGCTACATGCAACGTTTCATCCATGACAGAAACCCCAGCTCTTGACTTACTACCACATCTCAGAGCCCCCTACTCGTCCCGCAGTCGTGGCCAAGTGCGTAAGGCGATGGACTAGAAATCCATTGGGGTCTCCCCGCACAGGTTCGAATCCTGTCGAATGGGCGAACATTTTTTTCTTTTTATGTGAGCATGGACGCCGGACGGACGGACGGATGGACGGACGGACGGGCAAGGCTAGACCCTATAGGAGCTTCGCCCTTAAAACGGGTTCTTTGGCCATCCCGCGTCCTGTCTTTTTATCCGTAACATGGGTCTAATGTATCAAACTGCCGGACAACCTGCCTATCGGGAGTATTAGCGGCGAGATGTTTCGGTGGCGCCCTCCTATGGTTCCCCCTTGTGACGTCATTACCTTGCGAACAACAAGTTCGATGGTGTTTGTAAATAGCATGGTGGAAGCCTGAAATCATTGCGCTCTCAAAGCAACACTGCCAACACCGTCGAAATTAAAGTTCTTTCATTCCTCTTATTTCCGTCGATGGTATACCCTTTCCGACGTCATAGTCAGCTTTTGGGCCAATCGTGGAAGGCCGACCACAGCGACGCTTTCGGTCGCACACGTCGCCAATTTACTGGTGGCCATAGTGGTGTGCGCTGCTGCTGAGCGCGTGCTAACGCCGAGCTTCCGCAGTTATTTTGGAGCGTGCATTTAGCACCATCAAGGTTGCCGGTCTTAGCAGGCTATTAATGTGAGCTCGTTCTGAGCATGCGCTCTAAACATCGCCCTCAAATATGGCGTCCAGTGAATACCTCCTATACTCCCTTTCACTTTAAGCGCAAGCGAAGCCGAAGCTACTTGCGCGAGCATATGGCCCTAAACAGTGTTTGCACTGCAGGAGCGTGCGTGCTTGGCAGGGACGCTGAAAGCCCGGAACTCGCTCTTGTAGCTTCTCCTACGCTCATACTTAAAGTGAAACAGAGTATAGGGGGTATTTACTGGACGCCATATTTGAGGACGATGTTTAGAGCGCATGCTCAGAACGAGCTCACATTAATAGCCTGCTAAGACCGGCAATATCGGTGGTGCTGGACGCACGTCGCAAAAGAACTGCGGAAGCTCGCCGTCAGCACGCGCTCAGCAACCGCGCACACAGCTATGGCCACCAGCGAATACTCCCTATTAGCGGCGAGATGTTTCGGTGGCGCCCTCGTTCGTTTACCTTTCGTGACGTCATTACCTTGTGAATAACAAGTTCGATGGTGTTTGTAATGGGGATGGTGGAAGCCTGAAATTATACTGTTCTCAAAGCAACGCTGCCAACACCGTCAAAATTGAAGTTCTTCATAAGGATAGATAATTGGGCGAGTTGGTGAGAGTTCTGTAGTGTGCTGTAAATAATCTAGATGGCGTTTTCAGCTGCATTTGAGATGGTGCCGCGCGCCGCGTGCTTGACAGCGGCACGCGCTGATTGATGTAGATATTGTAAATACAAGCAGTCTTGATCGAAACTCCGAAAAAAAAAAGAGACAAGCGATACCTACTTTACTTCAGGTACACAAAGAGAAAAAAAAAATCGCCAGCTAGAAGACGACAATACATAATATTAGCATAATAAATGTGTGCGGACTCCCTCCCACTGAACATACACCTACCGTTAGGGAGCCCTGAGATCATAAGAAGAATATAATTAATTCATAGTAATTAAATAACGGAAAACATCCCCTCTTTCTCTCGCTAGGCGAGTGCTACGCGTTCAGTTGTCATCTTCCGCTTTCCCTGTGCCCTTTTATTTCGCCTGCTTCTCTCGCGTTCAAGGTTTTTTTTTTCTCTCTCTCTCTCTCCCTCTTTCGTCTCGTTTCCCGGGTAACTGGCCCAGTCGCTAGTAGATGGCGCGCACTCTCGGAAAAGAGTCTATTGAAACAGATACCATTTGATATAGACGCTTTGCAGCAGCTGTGCATGGACGCCGCCATAAGTGACCTTCAGTTTTTGTTTCCTCTTATTCCGTTTATTTCACTTCATCATTACCATGGCAGAACAGGCTATTGCCACATTAGATTCAACTGTGTCCTTTTCTAAAGCATCGGCCTTTGTAGAGGATCGTCAACTACCGTTTCAGTTGCTCGGCATCTTGGTAAGGCAAGAGAAGGTCAGCAATGGCGGCTGTAATTTGGCGCGTGTGTAAAGCGTCTATAGACATTTCGGAGTATAATATTTTCACATTTTTCAAAACGTTCTGTTCATCTCAATTCTACTCTCCCGCGTACTCTCTCTCTCTCTCGTTCAAAATCCATATAGAGTGGTATCCCCACAGACAGACAGACTAGTATATTCGCGGACGCCACTTGGACCTGGGGGGAGGGGGGGGGGGGGTCTTCTTTTCGCCGCCATCTTGAAACACGAGAACCGGGTGACCGAAGAAGCGAGCCATCCATCCGCAAGCAAGACGACGACCCGCAGCAATTCTCCCCGCTAAGCGTTGCTTCCTTGTTCTTTCTGCACACGTAATTCTCCCAAAGCGACGATGTGCTTCCGTTATGTACAGGGGCAGTGGTTCATTGGCCGCCCATCGGAAACTGCCGCAGCGCCCGCTGGCGGAGGACCTTCAACGGCACCGGTGACGTCATCTTGTCCGACTCTTGCGACCGCCTCTTGCGACTCTGAAAGAATGCCGTGATAGAAATTTGTCGACTTTCCGATTCGCGACGCTCGGAGGTGACGGGCACTTGCGACGCTATTGCCGCCGGTCGCACCTCTTCGGTGGCGTCGCTAGCAACGGCGTCGCGAGCTTGAATCGCCGTCGTCGTCGACACCGGTGAATCACTCCAGTCGTAACGTCCCGGCAGCGGCGTCTCGGTGCTCAGATCGAAGTTGTACTGGCGGCGGAAGCGATCCAACCGTGCGTCGCTCTCCTTGGCGAGTTCGCGTCTCACGTCGCCGTGGTCGACCGCGTCGAAGAGGCAGCGTTTGACGGAACGCGGCGAGCGAGGGGCACCCACACGCATTTTTTTCGCTTATCGTGATTGGTAGGCTTTTTGCGTGTGCGTGAACTCTGTATTTTCTTTAAGGAGTAAGCTGTTTTCTTCTCTTCCCTAATAAATTATCCAACATTTATTTTTCTGTTAAGGGAGGAGAAGATGTAGTGTGCTGTAAATAATCTAGATAGCGTTTTCAGCTGCATTTGAGATGGTGCCGCGCGCCGCGTGCTTGACAGCGGCACGCGCTGACTGGGCGGTGCTTAAACATCCGACTAAGAGAGCACCATAGCTCCTTGAAGGACACCGCTAATTCACATCTAGCGATGCATTGCAGAGATTGCGGTTGCGAACCACGCTTCGAAAACACCAGTATATTGTTTCAACACCGCGACCAAACATGTCGAGAGATGGTAGAAGCCTACAACATCACGAAGAACAACAGGTCGTGTGTGAGCCAACCATCGGTGACTCTGACTCCCAGTGAGATGAAGTTTTTGGATTCAGGGTAACAAAAGCTCCTGAAGAAAAAAAGAAGAAAACCAATCTACGATCGGAGAAAAAAGAAGAAAGGGAGATGTTTCACGAGGCGCCAAGCAAGCGCGCGAACATTTGACTCCATGTTTTTCATTTCATTGTCATTCTTCCTTAGTGTGTAATACAAACCAGTTGATAGTCAGCGCTTTGTCTTGTGTTCTCTTCGTCTCTTTGTGTCCTCGTCTTAGTCGCGCTGTTTTTCAACTTGAAGTTCTTACATTCCTCTTATTTCCGTCGATGAGACATCCTTTGCTGACGTCATAGTCAGCATTCGACCAATTGTGATGGGCCAACCACAGCGACACTTTCGATCGCTCATTTCGCCAATTGGCGACGTGAGCGATCGAAATCGTCACTGTGGTCGGCCTACCCCGATTGGCCGAATGCTGACTATGACGTCAGCAAAGGATTTCTCATCGACGAAAATAAGAGTAATGTAAGAACTTCAGTTTTGACGGTGTTGGCAGTTTTGGTTTCAGAGCGCTATGATTTAAAGCTTCCATTATGCACGTTACAAACACCATCGAACTTGCTGTTCGCAGCGTAACGACGTCACGAGAAGAAACCATACGAGGGGGTCACCGAAATCTCTCGCCGATATTAGGTTTGATCTTTCGCCCTGCCCGTACCCATCGACCATCTCACTCTTGTTTATTACTACTGCGAGCAGTTGTACTGCCTTGGCTAAATTTCTTATCTACAGTCGAAACCAGTACCGCCATACCTCAAAGGCAGACAGTATTACGCTGCCTAAACACGAATGTCTTGTTTGCTTTGCTTTTTCGTCTTCAACATTACAACAAGGGTTGCGAAGTGCATAAAAAAAAATGATGCCATGTTCCTCCTACAAAGGATCTTACTAAATCTCTCACCCTCAAATATTTGCGACAATACAATATTTCTTCATATATTTTCCTAATCGAAAACAAATATCTTATTTAAACGTGAAAAAAGCGTCTGTAGTGCTTTGTATCATATTAGAGCAATATATCAATCCGCACTGGCACCAACATCACCAGGCTGCCGCACCAAGCCCCGGCTTTACGGTCACCTGGGCCAAATCATACAGAAGATGTAGTCAAGCGTACCATGCCCCATTAAACTGCCCATCATTACCATGGACAAGACGTCTTGACTGGCATCATCAGCTGTAATGCGTGGACCCGATGTCAGTTGATCACCGATGGCTCTCCATTCGAGCACTTCGGTATTGAGCCTTCTGATCTTGTTGACAACGGCAAGCTCTATCAAGTTCCGTCACAAGGGTAAAACGTACGACTTCTCCAAGGTACCAAAGACAATCCGGCTCGACGTTTTCTACGAGTCACTCTGCCCGTACAGCATCGGTTTCATCACGACCCAGCTGTGGCCAACGTACCTGCTGGTTGGGTACCACATGGACGTTAACCTTGTTCCTTTTGGCAATGCCTTTGAAGAAGAGCGCCCGAATACAGACGAGCATCGTCGCGATGCCAATTGGCCCAAGGCTACACCCAGCTACAGCTGCCAGCATGGACCGGACGAGTGCTTCGGCAACGTGGTTCAGGCCTGTGCCGCGCAGATCTTCAACGACACCCTTGTGACCCTTGCCTTCGTTACTTGCATGTCGACCGCCAATGAACCTGCCAAGGTTGGCAAGTTGTGCGCCAACGGCGTGGCTCACAACTGGGAGAAGATAGAGAGGTGTGCTACGGGACTCAAGGGCATAGAGCTCCAGGAAAGGATGAGCAAGGCGACGTGGAGCCTGGACCCACCGCACAGCTACGTGCCGTGGGTATTGGTCAACGGCGCTCACACGGACGAGCAGCAGGCCATGGCGCAATCGAATCTTCTGCAGCTCGTCTGCGATTCTCTGCCCGCGGACAAGAAACCGCCGGCCTGTTTCGATGACGAACCGTTTAAGGCGATACAGAGTTTAACGAATACCATCGAAAACAGAGATCAAAACGCCATCAATGAATACAAAGAAAGAAATGAGCATAAGGAGCATGGCAACCCCTGAAAAGATATTCCCGTTTGATGTCCTATGTCAAAATTTAGGGCGGTCAGTTGGGCTTGGTGCACGTCGTGTCATGCCTTTACATCAGCGCTATCACGACTTCGGTTGACTGTAGAAGCGTAAAAAAAGCCGGATTGCCGAGTTTCTTGCCGGGGGAGTAGCATATCTAATATATATCCATAAAATCCTGCTTGGGAAGATTTTAAGAAGGCAGTAATTGTCCTTTAAGCTATGAAATTTATTAAAAAAATTTAATTAGAACATAATCAGGTGTCAAATGAAACATTTTAAAGGCGTATGTTGAGGAATGAGGGAGTAGGAATGAAATATAAGTTCATGCAGCTGACTCAAAGCTTTTCCAGATGAAGGCCAAAAAGCTTTGAGGACAAGTCACACTATAAAGCCAAAACACTTCTCAAACAGAAGAGCTAAAATATCGAAGCCTATGCATATTCCATAGTGAGAATACCTGATGGGAACAAAACAAAATCGAAAATTTCGCTTCCTTAATTTTATTTTATTTTTGTGTATTGCTCTCAGTGGAATTGCCGCAATTAAATTGTTGGTTGCTTACAGTGTTTTCAACGTCTTGATTTTGTTTTCACTTGAGCTTCAGCAATTTTTTTACCTGGCTGCTTGTAAGCAGTTTTCGCCTATGCTGCCTGTAGTCCTTTAAAAGGCGTACGGAAACGAAACGACGTGACCACGAGCTCTCTAACTCTCGCTTTAAAATCGGCCAGCGAAAAGCGCAATGCCTGTCGCTCTGGTGACATCAAGGGGCTTTGCACGGCCAAGGGTACTGTAATTGCGAACGCTGCCGCTTGGTGGAGTAAACGCGTGACAACCTCGCCTAGTATTAATCTCCGAGGCTGGCGCGTAACATAATTTGCGGCTATACAGGTATTTTATGTGCCGAAAGAGTTCGGATCACCATGTTAATTTCACACTGCGGAAGTAGTAGCTCGACAGAACCAGTAATAATTGTTAGTACTAAAGTCAGTACCCAGCAATAGCGACACCTGCAAGCTATGTATCTTAGCTATTATTCACTGGCTGCCATACTTGAGCTCGTCAATAGGGAGTTTTCGTAGATCGTTTTTGACGTCCCGCAACGCTCTCCGCAACTCACTACGATACCCGGAAGTCTACAGCCAAGGCCATCGGCGCGCATGCGCAGTAGCAGCTTCTTCGTTGCGGAGGGCTTAGCGGAGGGGGAAACGCGGTCTCCCTATTCAGAGCGCATCCGGGGGGAGGGTAAATTGTGTGGTCAGTCTGGCAGAAGTTTCCGCATCCTCGGATCAAGCTCCTACCTATCGTCTGCAACGAACGGCGATCTTGATGGGGTGGAATGAACGTTACGGAAGCACTGTGTAAGCTTTAACAGATACAACATAGTAAACTCGATAGCGTCCTCCGCCAAGTCACATTCAGGACTAAGTAACTCCCCGAGCGAGCCATACCGCCGCGAAATCTGGCTGTTTCTTATGGACCCGTGACGTGGCGGCATTTCAACGGAGCTCCACAGACCGCCACCAGGTGCAATCTTGAAATGTGTTCATTCGTTTTAAAATTTGTTTTCTTGACTTTTCTGCCGGCAGCCTAGAAACTCTAGACTAGTGTTTACGGGCTGCCGGCACAACAACACAACAAGTTTTTTGCTTGGATGTGGTTACGGAAACGTAATATTTGCACTTCTTTCTTTGCTTAGATGTGATCTAAATGAAAATATTACGTTTCTGTGACCATTTAAAGGGGTCATGGAACGTTATCGGGTTGGAACGTTCATGACTTTCCAGAAGCGTACTGGTGCTAGTCTGGCCTACGTATACTCGCATAGACCGCCAGTGATCCAGAAGCTTCTTTGTCGAGGTGATAGTGCCAGGATAAACGGGACTATTTTTCAGTCTTGCCTTCGTAAAGCTTGATGACGCAATTGTGGAATCGAAACCCCTGCCTACTGACAGTCGAGAGCGGCTCAATGACTGGACACGA